CCTCGGGCTCAACATCCGCGAAGAAGAAAATGCGATCTACCTAAGCGCCGAGAAATACGCCGACACCATCGCCAAACGTTTCTCACTCACATCTACCGCCATCGCCACGCCATACCGCTACACGGCAGGAAGCGACAAAGGAAATTCCGCTCCACTCAAAACTGCCGGAATACGTGACTACCAGAGGAAGCTGGGCTGCCTCCTCTTCGCAGCCGTCACCTGTCGCCCGGATTTGTCCTACTCCGCAAGCCAACTCGCTACCTACCTCAAGAAACCTGAAGCAGAGCATCTGGCGGAGCTCGATCTCGCACTACACTACTTCGTAAGCACACCGACGATCGGCCTGACTTACCACAAGAGCAAAGCTACGACGACGAAACTAATCGGCTACGTCGATGCCGATCATGCCGGCGATTCAGATAATAGGCGCTCTCGCACTGGCTACGTCTATCGTCTCGAGCCTATCGGACCTATCTCCTGGCAGTCGAGCAAGCAGGAACTAATCGCTCTATCTTCAGCTGAAGCAGAATATATCGCCCTCTGCTCAGCCACCAAGGAAGGACTCTACCTTCGCGAGCTGATGGAAGAAGCAAAGTTAGCCGAGTTACCCAACTTCACCCTATTCTGCGACAACCAATCTGCAATTCGCATCGCCAACAAAAGCGGACTTGCGAACAGAACGAAGCATATCGCTCTGCGATACTTCTTCGTGAAGGACGAGATCGAGAAAGGAAAACTCGAATTATCCTACTGTCCCACGTCCGAGATGGCAGCCGACTACTTGACCAAGAAACTCGGAAAACAGAAGTTCGAGTACTGCATGCTGCTGACTGGACAAGGCCACGTCACCATCAGCGACACTCCAGAAGCGAAGGGGAGTGTTGGGAATAATAAGTCTTAAAGCGCCTCTGTCGTGTCGAAACTCAGGACACTAGCGAAGCAGTCCGAATCGAAGCATGACGAGTCAACCCTCGGAGGTTGAGGTAACCGCCTGAAGGTTACACGAAGGTCAAAGGTCAGCGACCTTTGACTTGACAAATACAGCGCGACAGCAAGGACACACAACTGACTCGCCATTGAGCAGTTGCCCGAGTCGCACTGTATCGAAACGCAACAGCAAAAACAGTTTAATTATATCTATTCGTATTCCTTGTACTCTTATTTAAAGCTTTGTATCTGCTTGTTTTAATTAACTTACTTTGCCCTCACATACCAGCGCAAGGTGGTTCAAGAACCTTCATTTAACGCTTCCGCCAGGGCCTCAGATTCGTTTTTAGCTTGGCTGATACGTCAGCCTTAGCAGGCTATGCTGGGCTGATCAATCAGAGTTGGTTAAAAAATAAAAACTGAAATTTCAGACAAGTCACAAAAAAAAACGCTGACTAATCAGCCTCACTAAAAAACGCAGGCTGAACTGGATTGGTTCTATGTTTAGGGCATGCACATGGATGCAGGTTCGGGGTGGGTGAGATGGGGTGAGGTGGGTGTCCTTGTCGTGAGTGCGTGCGGTGCGTTGCTGTGCTGCACTGGTGGTGGGTGATTGGCGCATAAGGGATGTGACAACCAATCACATCAATTAAAGCATTCTGTCGGTGACAACGAAGCACCGACGCGTCGGGGAAATTCGTTTTCCCCCGCGTCGGCGCTGTACATGGTGACTTTTGCGTGATTGACAGGTGGATGTGTTGAATAACGAGCTTAAGAGGTAGTTGAGAGTTAAGTGGGGGCCTAGGCTTAGTAGCCTAGGCCAAGGAGAAGTCGAGTGGTTTGTGCCAAGAGAGAGGAGAAATGAATGGTTCAATATGAGAAAGAGGTACAAGATATAGTTCAGGAAAGGGTGCACCACCAAGAAAGTACAAATATAGAACTACACTACACTAGAACTACATGCAGTTATAGCAGTATTCTGACATCCCCCCGTAACTGCATGCAGGAATAGTGAAGTGCAGGACACAACCTGCAGGGGTACACCACAGACAGAGAAACAGCGCAAGGCAGCAGAGCAGGTACAGGCAGCAAAGGGGGGGGGGGGGCAGGCAAGCCTGCCACCCCCTTACTCTCCTCCCCCCCCCCCCCCCACCTCAGAGGGACGGGGGCTGGTTTGTCTCACATCCGCCACCCCAATGCCACTCCCCGGGCTCCCCCACTCCCTCACACCCTCCCCCCCAGCAGCAGCTGCAGCAGTGGGAACGAAAGGAGGAGGGGAAGGGAAACACACCACCCATCACCCCACACCCGCCACCCCCATGCCCTCCCCCCCACGGCTGCAGGAAGACGAAGGAGGAGGGGGTGGGCAAGGAGAAAGCCGCAGAGCGGCTACAGAGGGTCGGCGCGGGTCGGTCAGGGGCGGCTGCAGCGAGTGCAGGCGCGGGGTGAGGCAGAGGCGGCTGCACCGAGTGGAGGAGCGGGGGCGGCTGCTCCAAGGGCAGGCGCTGGGTGGTGCAGTGGCACCGCCGCGGGTGCCAGGGGCGGGTCCGCGGCGACTCAAGACACCGTCGCGGGCGCCAGGGGCGGGTCCGCGGCGGCTCAGGGAACCGTCGCGGGCGCCAGGGGCGGGTCCACGGCGGCTTAGGGAACCGTCGCGGGCGCCAGGGGCGGGTCCGCGGCGGCTCAGGGAACCGTCGCGGGCGCCAGGGGCGGGTCCGCGGCGGCTCAGGGAACCGTCGCAGGCGCCAGGGGCGGGTCCGCAACGGCTCAGGGAACCGTGGCGGGCGCCAGGGGCGGGTCCGTGACGGCTCAGGGAACCGTCGTGGGCGCTAGGGGCGGGTCCGCGACGGCTCAGGGAACCGTGGCGGGCGCCAGGGGCGGGTCCGCGACGGCTCAGGGAACCGTAGTGGGCGCCAGGGGCGGGTCCGCGACGGCTCAAGGCACCGTCGCGGGCGCCAGGGGTGGGTCCGCGACGGGCAGAAAAAACGTTACGCGCCACCCGGGGGCGGGACAGAACGAAAATCTTCACGCGCCCGAGGCGCGCGACCGGAAAAATAGTAGCGGAAGCGTGAGGCGGGCCCACAGGCCAGGACGTAACTCGCTCTAATGCCATGTTGAATAACGAGCTTAAGAGGTAGTTGAGAGTTAAGTGGGGGCCTAGGCTTAGTAGCCTAGGCCAAGGAGAAGTCGAGTGGTTTGTGCCAAGAGAGAGGAGAAATGAATGGTTCAATATGAGAAAGAGGTCCAAGATATAGTTCAGGAAAGGGTGCACCACCAAGAAAGTACAAATATAGAACTACACTACACTAGAACTACATGCAGTTATAGCAGTATTCTGACAGGATGTACCTGGACAGCCGAAACTCACGGCTCTGGCACGAATCTGTAATAGCGTGAGAGTTCAGCCTACACTCTCGTTATAAATCAGCCAACACTTGTAAAAAAACGCTGGAAAATCAGCCAATACATTAAAAAAAAACGTGAACAATCAGCCAACACTTAAAAAAAAAAAAACTGAATTATCAGTCAACACATCAGCCACAAGTCTGGGAAATCAGCGTCCAGACCAGGGGTTTTTTTATCAGAGTAAATTACTCTGTTTCTCTGAAAATCAGAGTGGTTTTTAGGGGGTCACTCTGACGTGTCTGGGTAATTTTTTTGGAGGATAAGTTTTCTCTGATTTGTCAGGGTTCTGATTTTAGCTACTCTGAGGGACCAGTGTATATTTGTGACCGATATAATTTTCTCTGTACAGGGTATAGGCATTTCACCGTGTCACAACCCCCCCCCCCCAATTGTATAGGCAGGCTTAACGCATATATATATTGAGTGTGAACTCAAGTATTATATATTGTTTAGGAGAGCGCGTAGCACAACGCTTAATTTTCTGGTAGGAGTGCAGAGGGCCTGGGTTCAATACTTGAGAAGAATCCCAGAGTTGGAAAAATAGGTTCACTGGGTGCCCAGAGTAGTTTTTTCAGAAGTTAAGTTTTCTCTGACAAATCATAGTAACGCTCATAATGAACCCTGAATTTCAGATTTCTCTAGAAAACAGCTCTGGAAATCCGAGTAGTGAAAATCCAAAAAAAAGCCCTGGTCCAGACCCTAAATCAGCCTTTTTTCGCTGACTTCTGAGGCCCTGGCTTCTGCTATTGCAACTCTACTCAGACTTTAAACTCTACAAAGATCCTAAGGGCACTTCAGCCCAACACATTTAACTACCACAGTAGCACATGCATTGTAATTGTGCATTTTGCATTTACTTCATCTACGCATAACATCATCCGGCATATTCATCACGGAATAAACAGTTACGCATTCACAGTACATCATTTTGGCAACTCGTGAAATATAGGTTCAGTCAAAGCAAACTAGGAAATGAGAAGGAATATAGTTCGGCACGTGGTAAATTGACGTGGCAAATACATAGTAGTCAGTCACTTCACTTAGCTTCTGTTCACTACCGGTAGATTTTTTTCATCCTTCATTTTTTGAAGTAAAGAGGATGAAAAAAAAATTGTACATAACGATCATAATAGGTTGCTTCGCAACCCAAAAATAGTATTCTTTCACTGAGCTGCCAGGATACTGTTAAAATATAGCACTGACATTTCAGGATACCTCACCCTGTGCAGCCCTGACAATTTAGGGCAATTTCTGATTTCCTAAAAACTGCCCTGAGGCCTCAGTGTACCCCCAAACGAATCTGAGGACCTGTATAAGGGTATTCTCCACTGAGGAGATCAATGCTCATGTCATGTGCTGTACTAACAGGTTCAACATACCTTCATCTCACATTATGGTGAGCTTACACAAAGGTAAGACTACTGCCATCTAAAAACAGTGTTATGGTACCGCATTCAACATGGATTATATCAGGCATTGATCTGCTTGACAGCGCAAACCTGCTCCTGACCCATAGCGCTCAATACAGAAACAGACTGCTCCTTGTCTTCTCCATGCCAGGCCTTGATCTGCAAGACATTAAGATATATTAGTTGGCACGCCATGATAGACACGGTATGCAAACGAGAAATTCGGCTTCCAGTCAAATAATCCCGAATCATTCGTACCTGTGAGCTGAGAGCCTCGTCCGGGGGGAGGGGAAGATCGTCCCTCGTGTCACCCGTATGGCTCATAAGAGATAGCTGAGGCAACATGTCGCCACGAGTCAGGACGCCAATGCCACAAGCTGAGGAACAGCATGACACAAACTATCGACACTTACCATGCCTTCAGATGTAATGTCTAGGACTGTATAGTCGCTGAAGTTTACTTTTGGAACCTGTGAATACAAAAACCATCGATTAAAAACACAGGCGCGACGAACGAAGACTGCTATTACCGCCCACCCTCCCAACTCCCAACATAGTATGATGCAGATCGACTTACCTCGACACTGTGCGAGTACGGCGCCATCTCTTCCCACCGCTCCTTGGTGAATAAATCAGTTCCGACAAAATTGCACTTTTTGTTACCTTTCGCCGTAACAGTGGTAGAAGTCTCCACCACCTGAGGATTCCACCCAAAAAACAAATCCCTGAGTCCTTTTGCCGTAGGCAATGAAGGGGCAAGCGACGGAGCGAGCAAACACCAGATCCTATGATAGTACCTTGCAAGGCCGTCCCGAAATTACAATGTATCCGCCCTTGTGGATACTTCCAGCGTCTCTCGAGTACGTCCCCGACGATTGGGGACCATCGTCCTGATACTCGTCAGCCATGGCTGCTCGCTGCCTTGCGAAGGTGAGCAGAGAAATTCTCTAAGGGTGAATGTCAAATATGATGGAGCAGTACATAAGAAATGATGTATAGCCTGTCCCTTCAAATGTGGTGGGGTGGGTTCTGAGTTCGAGCTCGCTAAAGGAGTAGCAAAGCAAGCCCGGCTCGCACGGCGCGGATCTGTGGGGAGGGGACTTGGTGCAGATTGTACGCACGGCGGACGGACAATGCGACGATAACTGCGATCCAACTACACCTTCCACGTGGGGACTGCGTACTGGCTGAACGCGCATCGTGTACTTGTCTGCACTTCCCGGGAGATGTGCCCCGTGCAGCGAGTACTTGAAAGCCTAGCCCTTTCGCCTCTCGCCCCAGGCCATGACCCACAGTCACTTGACCATCTACGAATTTACAGCGCGCACCGAGGGATACGGGACCGAGAATCCTGCCGAACGATAGTCACGTATGTGTTGCTGAATGCAGGACCGCAATCGCCTTCGTCGCCTACCCGAATTTTCTCGTTGAAGTTGTTGGTTGTAAATGCCTCGCGACTGTCTTCGTTTCACCCTACCTTCTTTCCCAACCTTCAGAACCCACGAGTATCTGGCTGGCTGGTCTGATCTGTTCAATTTTGCTCATCAAACCGTATCCAACCATACCTAATCATTCTACAACGTGTTTTGTCACCAGCAATGTTCTTACACCGAAGCCAGTCAAGCGCAAAAGAGAGTGACGGGGAGTGGGGCCACGTGGCGGGTGAGGCGGGAATTATGCGCAGGGTGTTCAGCACGAAATCCTCGTCCACGTGGAGGGTGGACTTCAAATCCATATGCGATGGTCTGGGTGGCAATTTCCAGCTCCCTTCAAGCCCACGTCTAGAATGGCAATTTCCAAGTTCAAGATTCTTGAAATTGTCGTCGTCAAAACACAAGGTAACCCGATTTGGGATGCTGCTCTCTCGCGACTCATGGGGAAGTGATTGAGGCGCAAGAAGGTGATTGGCCAACAGCACAGCAGACGAAACAGCGACGACCATCGCCAGAGAAAACAATAACTGCTTCCACTGTTCCCACTTTCCGAAACTTGAAAGTCCAAGCTACCGTTCTAGACTCGTTGCGTAATAGACTAGATAGCCCATCGTTTCGTCATTATGCCGATTTTTACTCTCATCACAAAGGTCTTAGCTTATCTTTTGTTAGAAAACACGATATAGGTCACCCCCATGCCTCACGCCACTCACGATCCATTCGCTAGAATGCAGTATGCGCAGAATCATCTCACTAGAGGCTCCAGTAGCTCTCGTAGCATCCGTTGTTCCCGTAGCATCCGTTGTTCCCGTCGCACCCGCCCCTCCTGTCGCTCCCGCCTCTTCAGTCGCTCTCGTCCCTCCCGTTGCTCTCAGTCCCTTCCCGTCCTTCCCGCCGCTCCCGTCACTCCCGTCCTTCGCGTCGCTTCCGTCCCGCATTTTCCTCTCGTGTTTCGCTTCCCCTCCCGTCCCTCTCGTCCCTCTCTGCCGCTCGACTTCCGTCCCTCATTCGCATCGCTCACTCAATCCCGTCACGCACTCCCTCCCGTCGCTCGCTCAAACCCGCCGCTCACACAGGGCAGTCGCCTCATCGATCCCGCCGCTCACACACTCACACGTGACACTCACTCCCGTTCCGCACACGCCCCCGTTGCACACTAACTCCCGCCCGCCAATTCCTCTCGTCGCTCTCAGCTCTCGTCCCGCGCTCACTGAATCCTGTCGCTCACCTCGTAGCGTGTGGCACTCCCTCCCGTTCCGCAAGCGCAAGCATCCCGCACTCACTACCACGCTCACTCCCGTCCCGCTTCCTACCATCGTTGAGATTGCAGATGTTGTACATCTTACCTAGTGTATTCGCATCCAGATATATATACATATATATCGTGTGACTTATAACATCGCAGCGCAGCAAAATTTACGTGAAAAAGAGGTGGGGACTATGATGGTGGGAGGGGGCGAGGGGAGGGCGACTTGGGTCAATGACAGGGCGGGGTGGGAAGAGGGGCGCGCGAGTTGGGACGAGGGGAGGGCCAGGTGGGGCGCAGGGGAGCGCGAAGGGAGCGCGAGGTGGGCCTCACTGGCTGGGGGCTCAGCCGCCGCGCTGCCAGCCACCTGCCAGCATGGCAGCGCCAGGTGTGGGAAGAGTGACGTGGAGAGGTGGGGTATCATGGTATGTGCGCGCCACGTGGCGAGTGGGCGGCAACGCATGTGTTTGTGACCATGCACCCCACCCTCCACCCCCAGCATACGACCGCCGTGCCCCATCCCCCGGGGCGCGTCAGTGGGGGCGGCCATGTCTCCCCGCAACGCTCTGCTGCTGCCCGCCGCACCCGCCGCTGCTGTCAGGTAGCACCCGCCTTAGGTACCACCCGCCTAAGGTAGCACTGCTGTCGTCTCCCCTCAGCATCCCCAATTCCCCATGGTGCTGCTTTTCCTGCCATCCCCACAGCTCTCCTCCGCCGCTCTTCCCTTTACTATGTGGCATGGCATGTGCAGCACAGGCGGTGCAATCTTGTCCTCGTTTGCTCGCAGCAGCAGTATCACTATACGATACTGTGCTGTTTTGAGTCGACTGAAAAACAGCAGTAGTATCACGATACGATACGATACTGTGCTGATCTTCTTGTTGCCTTGCCGTTCCACGTGTCGTGTCGGTCGCTAGTCGCTCCCTCCGTCCACCACAGTCCACCTCACGTGATCTGCCCATCTGCCGCGTTCCTGCTGGGCTGCCCGCTCAAAGGGGTGAGAGCAGGGGCGGTGGGGGGTGGCATTCTGGTGCGAGTGCAGACGGTCGCTTGCTCTCACATGCTGCTGCTCTCCCTTGCCCCTCCTCCCCCGCCCCCTCCTGCTGAAGCTGTTGCTGCTGCTGTTATCCCTCTTATTCCTCCTCCCACTGCCCCATGCCCCGCCAGCACCCCATGCCTCGCCAGCACCCCATGCCCCGCCAGCACCCCATGCCCCGCCAGCACCCCATGCCCCGCCAGCACCCCATGCCTCGCCAGCACCCCATGCCCCGTCAGCACCCCATGCCCCGCCAGCACCCCATGCCCCGCCAGCACCCCATGAGGTGTCGAGTGTTAGGAGAGGGGGGACGATACACTGGCGCAGGGATGATACACTGGCGCAGGGACGATACACTGGCGCAGGGACGATACACTGGCGCAGGGACGATACACTGGCGCAGGGACGATACACTGGCGCAGGGACGATACACTGGCGCAGGGACGATACACTGGCGCAGGGACGATACACTGGCGCAGGGACGATACACTGGCGCAGGGACGATACACTGGCGCAGGGACGGGAAGGAATGGCTGGGAGCAGTTTTTGAGTCCACCTAGCCACATGGGGAGGAGGCAGTGGTGTAGGGATGGTGGAAGGCGGGTGGGTGAAAGTGGGTGGGGCAGGGTTGGACAGGAGAGAGGGGCGAGGGGAAGCAGCAGGGGGGGTGAGGGCGGGAGGAGGCGAGGTGAGTGGAGGAGAGCTGGCAGGAGGAGCGGGTGCAGAGGAGTGGAGATGGGTGGTGATGATGGGTGAGAGATGGGTGGGAGTCTGAGAAACGGTTGAGAGTGGATGATGGTGGCGGTGCAAGGAGCGTGTGGCGTTTGAGCGTGTGTGCATTGATAACCCGGCCGTGGTGTTCGTTGATAACCCGGCCGTGGTGTGCGTGTGTCATGGATTACACACCTGAGCACAAGGTGAGGTGAGTCAAATTGCTGCTTGTTATGGCAAAGAAACGAGCTAAAGACAAATACCAATTTTACCGTGAATGTTAAGTCGGCTTGAAAGCAAGCCAGCTGCTTTTCAGATTCTGCACCCATTCAAGGTGGGTTGTGAGTGAGTTGTGACCAGCTTGCACGATGAGTCAGGTTCCTCACTTCCAGTTCCGTGGTTTGGAAGGCCAATGCTGACTGTTTTTGAGGCACCTTAAGGAGCAAGACAATGCGAGTCAATGCGAGTCAACGCGAGTCAACGCGAGTCAATGCGAGTCAATGCGAGTCAATGCTGATTTGGCAAGAGTTTGACCCGACTCCCTGCCCATGCCATGCGTTCCTAATTTTCACCTCTCCTGCTAGCAGCACTGCACTCCGCATGCCTGCTGCTTATGTGCCCGTCCCCCCTGCCCCTTCTTCAAAACCCCCTTGCTTCAACCCTCGTCACCCCCTCTCGTTTCCAATCCACCCTCCTTCCCCAGCTAGCAGCTGTGCATTCCGTGCGTCTGCTGCCTGTGTGCTACCCCGCCCTGCCACTGCCACCACGTGTGTGTGAGGGAGGGGAGGCATTGCCGTGGTCCTCCCACAGGCTTGGGCGGCAGCAGGCTGGGCGGCAGCTGGCAGGGCGGCAGCAGTGAGCAGTGGAAGATAATGCGGGTGGGAGAGAGGAGGCCCAAAATGGGTAGATCTGGTGGATTCTAGGGCCCAAACGGAGCTCTGTCCTTTGCCCTTGCTCTCTGGGAGTAGGTAGATTGGAGGATGGACATGCAGTGTGGGAGGATGATAGGAGTGAGAATGTAGGTGAGTTTCATGCGAGGAAGGAAAAGGACAAGGCTGTCGGTGGTGGGAGTGAGAGGGAGGAGGAGGAAGAGCGTGAGATGGACGAAGAGGAGAAAGAGTGGAACACACAGGGGGAGGAAGAAGAGAGAGGGGGTGATGGAGAGGCGGAAGGGGTTTCAGCAGATGAGGGAATGGGGGAGCAGCGCGCAGTGAGGGATGAGGAAGGGCAGAAAGGGTGCTGGCGCCACCTGCCTGAGGTGAGTAATTGACGAGCAGGAAGGGGGGGAGAGGGGTGTGGTGGAGGGGTGCTGGAAGATGGGGCTGGGAGGCGGGGAGATGAGATGGGACGACCAAAGAGGAGAGTGGGAGACAGTGAATGGTGCGAGCATGGAAGGGAGTGGTGAGAGATGAGGATTTGGAAGCAAACGAGAGGGAGGGGGGAGGGGGGGCAAAGAGCAGTGAGTTGAGAAGTGCAACGGACGAGGCAGATGGGGAGCAGGGCCCTCGCTAGGTTTTGGGCCTGTCTGAGAGTATATATATATATATATATTTCTGACGCCAAGATGACCAAGTTTCTGTTGTCTTACACTTACGGTAAGACGAAAAAGTCTACACAGTCTGATCCATCAGACGAAAAAAAAAGCCCCGTCTGAACCTATTACAAAGTAATGATTTGGGGTTTAGCTCTAACTATTTGCGCAGGGTCTTCAGGCTTCTTCTTAAACATGTTGCGCAGAGACTGCAGCCACTGCCCAAGTTTCCTCTCGCGCTTCGCCTGGTTCTTGGGATATGACCCTTGCTTGAACAGCTTCGCCCCGTCAAGGTTGGCGAGGTCCTTGAGTCGGAAATCCAGCCAGCCCGATCAACGTTGTCACGAACGCGCGCGCCAACTCCAAACACGCACCGTGGTCCGCACCGCCCTTCTGCCCCTTGATGGGGTCCTCGTGGAGTGTGTAGGTGAGGTCGCTTGATGTACCGTCGGCCGCCTTGCCAGCCACCTTCACCTCCCGAGACTCCCGGGACGCGTGCTTCTTGAGAAAAGGGCCCAAAGCATCTCCGCCCTGGCCGAAAGAGTCGTCGTCGCTGTCGAGGTAACAAGCGCGCAGTAGCAAGGTAGTGTTGTGAACCATCAGCAGCACATGGGTCGCGTGAACCTGAAATGAAGCATAAAATAGGTTAGTACTTGACGGGTAGTTAAAGTAATACGAGTGTCTTGCATATTAAACGCTCACCTGGCGGCGCTGAAACTTCAAGCTCAGATTGTTGAGCTCCTTCAGGACACCCGCAAGGAGAAACAACATGAACTGAAACTTGTAGCTAGTGATGACCTTGTACATCTTGTCGAACTCGTGCAAGACAAACACTGCCGCCGGAAACACGTTCACCAAGCGGCCGATAGCTTGACCGCGAGACAACCACCGAACGTCCTTGATCCCTTGAACTTCGAGGTTGGTCTCGTAGATGACCTCCTGCAGCTCAAGAAAACGTGAGTGGACGAACGAAGACCGACCAAGATTTTCAGCAACGTAGTGAACCACCTTGTCCACGATGTTGAGGTCCGTGTGTTTGATCGCGGCATCTTTGGCCGCCAAGGCCTCCCTGCAACGCATAAAGACGGAGAGTTAGAAATCACGAGAGCGTAAACAGAAAAACACAAAGCAAGAAGCCAGCATACAACGGAAAGTCCCACTTGCCTGTGCGCGATGCAGTGTGATGACACGATATGTGGAACCTTCTCTTTCAGGCGCGCGGTCACTCCGTTGTGCTGGCCGATCATGACACTGGCTCCAACAGTGCTCATACCGGATATGTGCTGGAGATCGATGCCGCTACACTCCAAATGGGTAAGGAGAACGGTCATGAGAGAAGCGGCGTCACAGTGGTCCACAGTCAGCAAGGCGTAAAACTCAGTGACGGGAGCGTTGTCACGCATGAACGTCATGTAGACGATCATGTGTTTGCCCTTCCTCCGGTCGGTACTCTCGTCCAGCTGGATTCCAAGGTATGGACTCGCGCGGATGTGTTTCAGCTGGCGGGATTTCAGGTAGCACACCATGATCTCCACCAGTTGTGCAAAGCCGTACCTGAAATAAGGCGGGATTGCTATCATTGGCATCTCTTCGAAAGCAAACCACAGAATTCAATATACGGGACACTTACTCGCTGTAATATGTCCCGTTCTCCTTAAGGGGCATATCCGGAGTCCCCTGCTCAGCCATGAACTGGACGAGTGACACAAAGAGCACAATGGGCGCGTCAGACTTGCAAATGAATAAGACAATAGACAACAAACGTGCAAGGCGCTTGACATCCTCGTCCCCTTGGTGGAAGTCAACGATGGACTTCTGTCCTTTCTTCGCGTCGTCGCGTTGTTCCTTCTCCCGGACCGCCGCCTCATGCTTCAGGCTGTGATGATGCTTGCGCATCGTCTGCTTCTGAATGTCGATGCCACCAACACCGTAGCGCCCGTACTTAGAGTGGGGGTCGGCGAACACCATGCAGATGCTGCATGCAGGGTCGGCCATCCTTGGTTTCGGAGATGAAGAGCCATGGAAAGTACTGCTGCCACTGCTCCTTGCACTTCAGCTGAAGCTCTTCAACCGACAACTGCTTGCCTTTGGGGTCCTCGAAGTCCTTAGCTGCAGGTTCGGGGGCCACGGGTCGCGTCTCCACAGACGGTGCCGGCTGAGTCGGACCGCCCGGACGCGCGAAGTTCAGCACACGCTGCTTGTACCGCCCTTGTGATGACCTGACGGGCAAGACGAGGCTAGCCCTGAGAGCGGATTTGGTAGTGTCAGATACTACGCAGACGTTATTATCGGCACCGCATGACGGCATGCAGGTAGATACTGGCGTAGTTGGTGTTGCGGTCGATGGCAGAGAGTTATCGTCATTATCCAACAATGGCGCATCATCAATAGGCGAGGGTACCGCAACAGATGTTGAAGCAATCGGTGGGGCGACAGGGGCGATTGGCTTGGCCCGCGTTAGGAAGTCTAACGCTGAAAACCTTGGCGCAGCAGCGATGGGGTCGGCCATAGCCTAAACGAGATGATAGAAATTGTGATGAGGGACCATGCTCGGCTGGGTGAGAGAGGTGAGGTGGACGAGCTCCTCAACGAGCCTGTTTAACAAGCCTCGCTCAGCTGCATGAAACCCCCTCATCGAGCAGTGTGAATCAAAAGGCGATGCGTGAAGGGAGACGGGGAAGAACAACCATCGTCCAAGGTTACGTAACGTGTAGGAAAGGAAAGTGCGCAGGCACAATGTGACAGCGCGTTGCTGTGGCTGTGGCTGGCGTCAGCACCGATAGCCAGCTACACGACAGTCTCATGGCAGCAATTGCCGCAGGTTCGTGACAGCGAGGCTGCTACAAGACACGCACATTGAATGCGCGTGCAGGTACATGGCCTAGTGGTAGCCTAGTGGTCCAATGGCCTAGTGGCCTAAATTGTCGGTTTCAGACGAAAGCGAGCGCGATATCTGTAAAGTTAGACGAAGTGTTCTACATGGTCTGGAAAATCATACGAACGTAAAGCATTTGTCTTGGGGTTCGGATGAACAATATCGAAATTTCTTAGAACTCAGATGAATGCAAAAATCACGTCTAAGAATCAGAAATTCAGACCAAATTGGTCTGATAACGAGGGCCCTGATGGGGAGGAGTGGTTGCAAGGCGATGGTGGGGGGACTGGGGCGAGGAGGGAGGGGAGTGGATGGGATGGGATGATGAGGACGAGCGGGCAGAGAAGGTTGCCCGTAAGGACGAGTGGCGGAAGGAGGGGCGTGCGTTGACCTTTCTGCACGAGGAGAGAAATGGAAGCAGCTGGAAGGGGAGCAGGTGGATGCAGCGCAGGGCGTGTGGGGCGTGTGGGGTGTGTGGGGCGTGTGGGGCGTGTGGTGTGGGGTGTGTGGGGCGTGTGGTGCGGGGTGTGTGGGGCATGCCGGTGGCTAGATTCTAAGGCTATTTTTCCGCCCAACACCTCTCAATACCAAGTGTTACGAGTGCAATTGCATGATCAAGAGAGATCTGCAATATTGAAGCAAATAATACAATAAGCGCAGTCATGAACGAATTGTTATATACAGAAAGCATTTCGACAATGGTAACGCGCTTGAGAGAGGGTGCCTTACAGGCCTGATGCAGAGTCTGGGAAATGTCGAGGCGTATGAGTGGGTCGCTGATAAACCGGGCCGGGTGGTTTGGGCGCGAGAGTCATAGTGTTGGGAACAGGGTCGAGGCGAGTGTCGCGAGGTGCTATTGTTGGGTGTGTTACGAATAGTAAAGCGCCGTCTTCGCACAACTGCTTCAGCGACTCACCAGCTTTGAGCAAGGACACCAAACATTGCGGAATGGTGACGCGGGAACTTCTTCCCAACCCTCTCGTGCACGAATGGCCATAACACGGCCCCACACACCTTCTCCCTCGATACAAATGGCTCAAATCCCAAGACTCCCCGTCCCAGCGAAGAAGCAATTCTCTCTACACAATCAAGGTTTCTGGGCATATAAAAAATAAAGACAATTGTGTGTTTTGACAGCAAAAACTTCTATTCGTGGAACTTCGAGCTGGAGATGCTGCAAAACGCGCAGATGTTTCATTATTTTGACAGGAGCTTCTCAGGACCTGCTGAAGACACCGCTGACGCCAGGGTTCAATACTACAACGAGTCACTGATGACGTACGGCATTCTACTGCGGAACATGTCGCCGGCGGAGCAGCTGAGCATTCAATCGTATAAGAAAACCTCTGCTCCAGCCCTCGACGCTTGGCGACATCTGAACGGCGTGTATCAAACGAAGGACTCGGTTTCATCGAGCCGCTTGGAGACTAAAATGGCCCTAGGGGAGAAGGCCAATAGCTACATTAATCGCTGTCTGAGCTTACGCGATCAAATCGCGAAACTGGGAAACAACATTTTAGAAGAAATCTTCGTGAACATCGTGCTTCAAGGGCTCGGCCCAGAATGGCGGCCCTACATGGCGCTTCTCCAACAGCAGGGGGTTATCTCAGAGGCAGCCCTATGCGCCGCCCTCCTCGTCGAACAGAGAGACATGGACCAGCAGCGACCGGCACCACGACGAGATAGGGAACGCCTCGCCTTCTACGCAGACAGCGCACATACATAGGTCAAACACATACATGTCAACATCGGACACACAAGTACAAATGAGCACGGCCTCCCACCCTTTACCACACATCTACTCTAGAAGTTGTCGCCACCATGGCAAAGCCTCGTGCTGTGCCATTCCTCATGTGTTCCTAGTCGCATGGATAACATTCTACTACACCATCTTCATGGACGTCGCAGCCAAGGCGGTTGGCGGCCTGCTTCAAGCCAATGTCTGTCAGAATGTTGTAATTGTGTAGCCTGCAGTGGGGTACTCTATAGTGAGTACAACCCAATTAGGGTTTCCTATATGTATGCCAACTGCTGCTAGTGCAACCCTCTCTTTTTCATTCCTCATTCTTTCATAATGTCTTCATAGATGAGGCATTCGTAGACTCCTACTTACAGAGCACCGACAGGACGGCCGAGCGTACTCGGCGGTCAAACCTGCGACGGCTCCGATACTACCTGTTGCTCGAGGACCTGCAGGGCATGGGGGAGACGGAGTTTAGAGACCTCTTCCGCGTAAACCGTCAAATCCTGGCGTACATCGTAGAGGACATGGAGTACTACATGACGCCGTATGTAGAGCATTACTTCATCAGACATGAGGTGGCAAACTTGGTTACCATAAAATATCTGTCGAGCGGAACGTCTGCAAGCTTTGGTGGGTGCTTGTAGGGGCTTCATGCTCTAGCATCCTACACAACATGTGTGAAACACTTGGTCAGGTGAGGCGAATCAGCATGGTGTGGGCAACCTTGCCCCGAAATCGGGACCCCTGGCGGACACGTGGAGCGGTCGCCGATTTCAAATGGGAGCCATGTGTGCCTTACAACCAAGCGCTGAAGGAGAGGCGGAAGCGGCTGGGTGAGGCGCTAGAGTCGCCGTACCTTACTCGGCGTCGCCGCCCACCCACACCTCCTCGCGTGCTTCCGGGTTAGGCGCGACATCAGCCTGCTCCCTGCGATGGTACCAACCGTCTTCGCCTCCTTCGACGGCATTGGTAGCGAGCTAGGTGTTGTCCGGGGGGGTGGCGGTGGTGCGCGCCTGTGCAGCGGCGGCGGATTGCGCCATGCGCTCCCGCACAATCCTCTCGTCCTGCTCCATCCACACGCGCACGAGGCCTTCAAGCTTGTTCATGGCGTCCATGTGGCAACCCTTGATGGTGTCACTGACGAGCTTGGCGGCGGCCATGCTGGCTGTCTCCGCAACCCGCGGGTGCTTTGACGTAGGAGTGCACTGCGGGGGGGGGGGGGGGGGGGGGGGGGGGGGGGGGCTGGATAAGCATCCACATAGGTTCAGATTAGCAGATGTTTGAGGTATGTGGGTCAAAGTTGTACATGGCTGAAGTTAAAACACGCATGTTTTACAGTACTGACTGAAGTGGAAACCAAAACGACAAACTCACATGTGAAAGTAGGCGTGGAAGTGCACGGAGCTGAAGTAGATGGAGCTGCGTAGTCGCACGACACATTGATATGAGTCGCACCTCTGCCGTCCACCGCGTGCGGGTTCGCAACGTCACAGTTATGATGGTAGAGCTCCATTTACGGCTGTCAAACATTATATATATATGTTGTAGTTGTTTAGGCTACCGTGGGTTAGCCTATAGGGGGTACACAATTCTAGGGTTTCCTATTTGTACTCATTTCACTGTTAGTTCATTCATTCTTGTTCAACATGGTATAGAGCAGGTCCTTCCTAGGACCGTTTTTTCTAAGGGCCCACCACTACCTACCTGCCTACCTGCCTACCTACCCTAGGGCGCCTCGGCGTTCACGCCCCTAGAGGCCCTGAAGGCCCCGCGCTTTTGCACCTAGAGGCCCCGAATCGGCCCCGCGCCTAACCCTAGAGGCCCGCGCCGGCCCTGAGCTCGTCCCTTCTAGGCCCGCGTCGGCCCCGCGCTTACCCCTAGAGGCCCGCGTCGGCCCCGCGCCTACCCTAGAGGCCCGCGTCGGCCCCGAGCCTACCCCTAGAGGCCCACGACGGCCCGGCGCTTACCCCTTGAGGCCCGCGACGGCCCGGCGCTTACCCCTAGAGGCCCGCGACAGCCCCGTCCCTACCCCTAGAGGCCCGCGACGGCCCCGCGCCTCCCCCTAGAGGCCCGCGTCGGCCCCGTCCCTACCCCTAGAGGCCCGCGTCGGCCCCGTCCCTACCCCTATCAGCCCGCGTCGGCCCCGCACTTACCCCCACCCGCTCCCCGCGCTCGCCCTTAGCGGCCTCGAACGGCCCCACCCAGAACGAGCCGCCCCCACCGAACAGCCCTATCCGACCCGAGCCGCCCGAACCGAGCCGCCCGAACCGAGCCGCGCCGCCCGACCCAAGCCGCCCGAACCGAGCCGCGCCGCCCGACCCGAGCCGCGCCGCCCTACCTATACCGAGCCGCGCCGCCCTACCTGTACCGAGCCGCGCCGCCCTACCTACCCTACTGCTCCTACTGCTTTTCCTACTACTGCTACCATGGCTAGCCCTCCTGTGCTAGCCTTCGATGCTGAGGGCCGCCCAGTGAAGTTCGACACCTGGCTTGATGACCTACACCTCTTCCTATAGCTCACTGCCAAGGAAGACATCTCGCTGTACGATCACGCCTTAGGCCACGCTACTGCTCCTGCTGCTACTTCTGACAGCACTGCTCGCTCACAGTGGCAGACTCGTGACGCCCATGCTCGCTTCGCTATTCGCAACTCTCTGCTGATAGATGAGCGCGAGCACTTTGGGCAGCACAAGACTGCACAGGCACTGTACATTGCTGTCGTTGCCCGCTACTCTTCACCGGCCTCTGCCGCTCTAGGCCGTCTCTCTCTTCCCTACCTATTCCCCGACTTAGCTTCCTTTCACACTGTCGCTGACCTCATTACCCACCTCCGCACTAGTGAGGCTCGCTTCCGCGTCGCTATGCCTGATGATTTCCTTGCCACGAACCCACCCCCGCTCTGGCTCACTCTCTACCACCTACTCACGCGCCTCCTTGACTCGCTGCGCTCAGTCAGGGACCACTTCCTCGCTCGCTGCCCCACCGAGCTCACCATTGCCCTCCTCGAGAAGGAACTCCTTGCAGCCGACACTAGCATAGTCGCTGTAGGTGCCTCTCGCGGTGACCCCCGTACCCCGTTCTTTGAGGGGTGTTCTCCCTCCCCCCTTCTTCCCTCTGTCGCCTCTGCTGCTGCTGTCAACCTCCTTGGTACTGAGAAGGTCGCGACTGCGTCTGCTTCGAGCGGGCGCCGCAGCGGCAAGGGCAAGGGGGGCAAGGGCGGTAGTGGTGACAGCGGGGGTGGCGGTGGTGGGGGAGGTGGTGGCGGGGGGGGTGGCGCGGGTGGGGGAAGTGGCAGCAGTGGGGGGGGTGGCGGCAGCGGCGGGGGAGGTGGCCGGGGCGGAGGAGGTAGTGGGGGTGGCGGTGGACGAGGCGGCGGCCGGGGTTGGGGTGGTCGAGGAGGTGGTAGCGGCGGTGGTGGTCGTGGAGGCACTGGCGGTGGCCAGGGCCAGCAGCACACTCCCTCGCCCCAGGAGGTCCGTGAGTGGTACTCTCAGCACGGGGGGGGGGGGGGGGGGGGGGTGGCCTTAGCTGCACGTACGTCATTCGCACTGGTGACCGCACTGGCCAGCTGTGTGGGGGACCGCACGCCACACAGCGTTGCTTCGCTCGTCTGAGCGACGCTTGGCGTGTTCAGTTCCCTCAGGCCACTGAGCTGCCCCGCTGGGTTGATCTCCTGAAGAAGGGGATTGATATCTATGCTCTAGACTTTGATGCTATTCTCTCTGCCATGTATGTGATGTCTACTAGTGGAGAGGGTTCTGAGTACCTGAGTGTCCCGCCCGACCCGGGCATTAGGACTAGTGCGTCTGCTGCTCCAGGTACTCACGTGTCTGCTACCCCAGGTGCTGGTGAGGCTGCTGCTCTAGGTGCGTGCGTGTCTGCCCCCCCTAGTACGGTGTCGACTGCAGCACTGCACACCTTCACGCTGGATTCAGGTGCCTCTCGCTGTTTCTTTCGTGACCGCACTGCCCTTGAGCCCCTTGCTCGGCCAGTTGTTGTCTCCCTTGCAGACCCCTCTGGGGGTCCGGTCCTTGCGACCTCCTCCACTGTCCTTCCCTGTCCTGCGGTCCCGTCGGGCACACTGTTAGGTCTCCACCTCCCCTCGTTCTCTACAAACTTGGTTGCAGGTTGTGCCCTACAGGACGCGGGTGTTCACCACTTCACCCCTGCCTACGAGCGTGTCACACACTGCACGTGTGCTCGTACAGGCCGCCACTTGGCTACCTTCACCCGGCAGCCGGGGTCGGACCTGTACACACTGACTACTGCCCCCCCTCAGGTCGCTGCGTCTGCGTCTGCGTCCGCGTCAGGTCAGCTGTCTGCCCCCTGCTCGTGTCGCTCTCTAGCGCACGAGACTGTTCTCTGGCACCACCGACTGGGCCACCCGTCTGTGCAGCGCCTTCGTGCCATGCACTCCCGGTACCTTGTCTCTGGTCTTCCCAGGGTCCTCCCTCCCCTCCCACCCTCGCCTGCTCCTCCCTGTCTTCCCTGTGTCGAGGGGCGGCAGCGCGCCGCTCCTCACTCCTCCTCGTTTCCCCCGATGACTGCTCCTTTGCAGACGCTCCACATGGACGTGTGGGGCCCAGCCCGCGTCCGTGGTCAGGGTCAGGAGAGGTACTTCCTGATCGTTGTTGACGACTACTCGCGCTACACCACGGTCTTCCCCTTGCGCACCAAGGGTGAGGTTCCTGATGTTTTGATCCCTTGGATCCGCAGAGCTCGTCTCCAGCTCAGCGAGCGTTTCCGCTCGGACTTTCCTGTCCTGCGCTTGCACTCTGATAGAGGTGGTGAGTTCTCCTCCGACCTCTTGGCAGCCTACTGTGCTGAGCACGGCATTGAGCAGTCGTTCACGCTTCTGGCCTCTCCACAGCAAAATGGAGTTGCGGAGCGCCGCATTGGCCTGGTCATGGAGGTCGCTCGTACCTCCTTGATCCATGCGGCTGCCCCCCACTTTCTGTGGCCGTTTGCGGTCCGGTACGCTGCGCATCAGCTCAACCTCTGGCTCCGTGTCTCCTTGCCGAAGACCTCGCCCACACTGCTGTGGACTGGGGAGGTTGGCGATGCGTCGCGTTTCCGGGTCTGGGGATCTCGAGCTTTTGTCCGCGATTCGTCTGCGGACAAGCTCTCCTCTCGTGCTGTTCCCTGCGTCTTCCTCGGCTTTGTTCCGGACGCGCCTGGTTGGCAGTTTTACCACGCCACCTCGCGCCGGGTCTTGCCCTCTCAGGACGTCACTTTTGACGAGTCTGTCCCCTACTACCGCCTCTTCCCCTACCGCACTGCCCCGCTCCCACCCCCGCCTCTCTTCCTCGCGCCAGGTGCTGCTGTCGTAGACCCCCTCCCCCCTCAGGGTGGCGCTCCCTCAGGTGTGTCTCACGTAGACCCGGTCGAGCCTGTTGAGGTTGCTGTCGACTCTCGTCCTGCTGGGGGTGCTGAGCCTGGGGGTGCGGACTCTGGGGGTGCTGAGCCTGGGGGTGCAGACTCTGAGGGTGCTGAGCCTGGGGGTGCGGACACTAGGGGTACTGAGCCTGGAGGTGCTGAGCCTGGGGGTGCGGTGACTAGGGGTGCTGAGCCTGGGGGTGCGGTTACTGAGGGTGCTGAGCCTGGGGGTGCTGGGTCTGAGAGTTCTGACTCTGGCGGTGCTGGGCCAGAGGGTACTACACCTGGACGAGACCTCTCCTCGGAGCAGTTGCGTGAGTGGTACTTACAGTACTGCAGCCTCCGGAGAGGTACCTCTGGGACCAGGCGCACTACGGAGACTGGTGCTGGTACTTCTCCTCCTAGTCGGGAGCTCCCCTCTCGTGAGCGGATCCGTGAGTGGTACGAGCGCCGTTGCACACTTCGTAGTGGCGCGCCTCGTCTCCCGGACCCAGCTGCTGCTGGCACTACGGACCCGGGCGTTGGAGCTGCTGCTGGTGCTGTGGACCCTGGCGTTGGAGCTGCTGCTGGTGCTGCGGACCCGGGCGTTGGAGCTACTGCTGGTGCTGAGGACCCGGGTGTTGGAGCTGCTGCTGGTGCTGCGGACCCGGGCGTTGGAGCTGCTGCTGGTGCTGAGGACCCGGGTGTTGGAGCTGCTGCTGGTGCTGCGGACCCGGGCGTTGGAGCTGCTGCTGGTGCTGAGGACCCGGGCGTTGGAGCTGCTGCTGGTGCTGAGGACCCGGGCGTTGGAGCTGCTCCTGGTGCTGCGGACCCGGGCGTTGGAGCTGCGACTAGTGCTGTGGACCCTGGTGTTGGAGTCCCTGCTGGTGCTGCGGGCTCGGGCGTTGGTACTGCCGCTGGGGGCACTGGTGTTGTCCCTGCTGTGTCTGGAGTCACCGCGCGCCCTCAACCGTACTTCGTTCCGCTCCTTTAGCAGGTTCTTGGTCTCTCGCCTCCTCCTGGTCCTCCTCCTCCCTTAGTGTGTCCACAGCTTGTCCCGTCACAGCTACAGTTGCAGCCGGCCTCCCCACTACCTGCTCCTTCTCCTTACACTGGTCCTACTTGCGGTCTTACTGAGCGTCGTGAGTCTGTGTCTCGCCCTGCGTCGCCTGTCCGTCCTGCTAGCACTAGTGCTCGTAGTTCGCGTCCGCGTCCTCCTCCTGCCCCTGGCACGCACCGCATGTCTCTGCGTCCGTCTACTGCTCCTCTGCGTGCCCCTTTGCCTTCTCCTCCTACATCCTCTCTTCCTACTCTTGCCGACCCTGCGTCGGACTCTCTTCGTGTTGCCAGTCTTACTGTCACGCGTCTCCTTGCTACTGCCGTCACTGACCCTTCCTTCGAGTCTTCTGCTGCGTCTGCCCTAGTTGCTGAGCTCGTCGACTTTGCTGCTCGCTATCGTCTAGACTACGCTGCTAGTCTTGTCGCTGAGTCTGAGTCTGTCTGTCCTCCGTCCGTCGGGGGTGCGTGTGCCCTTGGCACGGACGTCCTTGAGGACAGGCAGGAGGAGTTCCAGTGCTTGGCCGCTGCTTCACCTCATCTCGTATCCGTACTACTTACCCCTGAGGGAGACCCGGATGCACTTGACATCCCGACTCCGCGCTGTTACGCGGAGGCGATAGAGGTCCCTACTCCTCTCACTGGCAGGCAGCTATGGATGCAGAGATGGCTTCTTGGAAGTCCACAGGCACCTACGTTGACACTGTCCCCCCTCCTGGGGCGAACATCGTCAGTGGCATGTGGATCTTCAGGGTGAAGCGGCCGCCGGGTTCTCCGCCTGTCTTCGAGGCGCGTTACGTGGCTCGTGGCTTTAGTCAGCGGCAGGGAGTTGACTACTTTCAGACCTTCTCCCCCACCCCGAAGATGACCACTCTTCGGGTACTGCTGCACGTTGGTGCTCACCGTGACTACGAGCTGCACTCCCTCGACTTCAGCACTGCTTTCTTGCAGGGCAGCCTGCACGAGGAGATCTGGCTACGCCGCCCACGTGGCTTCACTGGGTCTTTCCTTCCCGGTACCCAGTGGAGTCTCCGCCGTCCAGTCTACGGTCTCCGCCAGGCGCCGCGTGAGTGGCACGACACACTGAGGACTACACTTGCGGCTCTTGGGTTTGCTCCCTCTTTTGCCGGCCCGTCGCCGTTTCTGCGCAACGACACTTCTTTGCCGCCGTTCTATATCCTCGTGTACGTCGACGACTTGGTCTTTGCCACAGCTGACACTACTGGACTCGCCTACGTGAAGTCCGAGCTGCAGAAGAGACACACGTGCACTGACCTGGGTGAACTGCGTAGCTACCTTGGCTTACAGATCACCCGGGACAGAGCACGCCGCACCATCACCCTGACTTAGTCACACATGGTGCAGCAGGTCCTTCAGCGCTTCGGCTTCACGTACTCCTCGCCTCAGGCCACTCCTCTGTCTACTCGCCACTCGCTCTCAGCTCTGCCTTCGGATGAGTCCGTAGAGTCGAGTGGCCCGTACCCAGAGCTTGTTGGCTGCCTCATGTACCTGATGACCTGCACACGACCTGACCTTGCAGACCCTCTTAGCATTCTTGCACGCTATGTTGCTCCTGGGAGACACCGACTAGAGCACATGGCTGCAGCAAAGAGGGTGTTGCGCTACTTGTGCAGTACGTCGGGCATGGGGCTAGTGCTTGGAGGGCGGAGTCCAGTGGTCCTCACTAGGCACGCGGACGCTTCTTGGGCTGACGACCAGGCTACGCAGCGGTCATCACAGGGTTACACCTTCAGCCTTGGTTCTGGCTCTGTTTCGTGGCGGGCTACTCGCTCGTCTTCTGTTCTCGGCTCCAGTTGTGAGGCTGAGATCTACGCAGGGGCCATGGCTGCTCAGGAGCTTCGCTGGCTCACCTACCTGCTGACCGACCTTGGAGAGCCGCCTCGTTCTCCTCCAGTCCTGTACGTAGACAACAAGGCCATGCTGGCCTTGTGTCAAGAGCAGAGACTGGAGCACAGAACAAAGCACATTGCTCTCCGCTACTTCCTTGCTCGTGAGCTACAGCAGCGTGGTTAGTTGCGACTTGCGTACGTGGCCTCTGAGGCCAACACTGCTGATGTCTTCACCAAGGCACTTGCGAATTGTGATCATCAGCGCTTCTGTACTCAGCTGGGTCTTGTCCCTGTCTTGCCTCACTTGCACATCTCTTGACCTTGCTTGTACTGTTATATATATATATACCTGCTCTTGCTTGTCTAGCCTTATATATGTATATATATATATATATATGTACTCCTGCATGTGAACTGGCCTTGTGGCCTTGAACTTGTGCTCGGAATGTGTGGTGACTTTGTGATCCACCCTGAGCTTGCTTTGCTTTGCTTTACTTGACTGGTCTTGTGACCCCTAGTTCTCCCCCACTCCGCCTATGGGGGTGTGTCAAACATTATATATATATGTTGTAGTTGTTTAGGCTACAGTGGGTTAGCCTATTGGGGGTACACAATTCTAGGGTTTCCTATTTGTACTCATTTCACTGTTAGTTCATTCATTCTTGTTCAACAACGGCCACCATGGCGGCTTGCACACCGTGCCCTTCCCCAACGCCCTCTCGCCTTTCTTGAGCTGCTTGTAGATGTAGACAAGATTGCACCAATGCTTCTGCACCGCATTGGAGCCGCGCACCCACCCCGGGTTCTCCTTCTCGATGTGGTTGACAAGGCGGGCCCAATATTGGGAGCCTTGCTTACCGACGAGCGGTTCGAGCTCGTCCTTCATGAACCAGCGCGCGGCCACCAGGATGGTGTTCTCCAGGTTCAACCAGATAGTGCACTTCTTCGGCACATGGGTTCGGGTATTTGGGGCGGGCCGTGTAGGGTCGCCACCCTTCGCTGCGGTCTTGCCGTTGGAGGAGGACTTCAAACGTCCGCGGCGAGATGTCGGTGCTTTGGGCTGGACCTCCTCGGGTGCATCCTTGTCGTCATCCGCAGCGTCATCAGTGTCATCCTTGTCGTCGAAGTCGGACATCCCCTTGCCCTCCTCCTCACCCGAGTCCGCCTCGTTGTCGGTGCCTTCGGCGGGCTCATGGTAGTCGCTATCATCGGCGTTGTCATCGAACTCGTTGTTGATGACGCTGCGAGAAGATCCAACGCGGTTGGCGTCTCGGCGGCCGCGCGTTGGGACGTCGCGCGGAGCTTGGTAAGAGGTGGCTCCCGGGGAAGAGATCCCTCAGGGAGCAGCCCCCCGGGCTTGCGCCCAGCGATGAGTTGCTTGTTAATCCACGCGATGTATGGGTATTTGTTGATATCTCGCGAGCACTCGGTCGTAGAGTCTGCCGCTGTCTTACGCTTACGAGCCATGGCTACGGAGTGGAGAAGTCCAAACATGCAGGGAAGAACAAGCTGAGAATAGATCTTGGCCGGAGTAGTAGAAGAGGTTGGGGAAGGAGGGAGGACAGGACAGTATGCGGGATGGTGGGTGGGGTTTCCCGGGCAGGATGGCGGGATGGTGCGGAGATGTGGCCAGTCATGACGCTGCCCGGACTGGGCGGTCGTTCTTCCTGCTCAAATCTGTTACTTGTTCGGGAGTCCAGATGCATGCAGTCGGGCCGGCCAAACGCTTGACATTTCGACACGCGTGTGATATGTGGGACGTGACGGGGCCTTGTCCTACTCGTCCGTGACATTTCTGCATTACACGCTGACCAATGTAAAATACAGTATGTTTCGCACAAAGGCAATCCGCGATTGAGACAATGGACATTATATGCTGTTTTTACGTGTGGCAAACGCTTTGAGACACAAATGTCGACGCAGGAATGTACCCTAAGTCAAAGTGCATTGCCTCGCCCTCGCCAGACCAATCCGAGCACCTGGTCCGGCCGTCAAGGCGCACGAAACGACATGTGTCAAGCCTAGGGGTATCAACCCCCATCGTGCAACCTGAACCTAGCAGTTCAGCATCAGCAACAGCAGCCGCCACATACTGCTCCTACCCGCAACATCATCGCCAACACGACCATGACAGAAACGAGCGGATCTCGTCGTCCTCGCGTACGTACACCATCGCCAGAGCCAGCATGCCACCCAATCGGAGCGTTCACGGATAACAATCGTACGTGGCGGATGCCTCGCGCACGGCAGAAGGCACGCAGAAGGCCAGAGGAGAACTCTCCGCCTCTGTCCGAGTGCAGACGCAACACAGGAAAGTCCGAGCCAAAGCTCTGCCTGAGCTGGAGACGAGCTGCGCGGATCCAGTCGATTAGCACCTCAGTGACATCACCCTTACTGCGCAAGGGGAAGACTGTGGTGTAACGCGAGTAGTCGTCAACCACCAACAGGAAGTAGCGCTCGTGACCGAGTCCACGGACGCGGGCAGGGCCCCACACGTCCATGTGAAGCGTCTGCAACGGAGCCTCTGTCGGAGGAAACTGGGAGGAGTGAGGGGCAGCACGTTGGCGCCCCTCGACACAGGGGACACAGGCAGGGCCAGGGCCCTGAGGAAGGGGAGGGAGGGACCGGGGAAGACCAGACACAAGAAGACGGGAGGCCATGCCTCTGAGCCGAAGCAGAGAGGGGTTGCCAAGGCGGTGGTGCCAGAGGAGAGTCTCGTGAGACAGACGGCGACACGAACAGGGGGCAGACTCAGGACCAGACCTGGACGCTGCAGCAAACACCTGACCAGATGAAGGGACTCTACCAGACTCAGCACCGAGAGGAGACGCAGTGGTTAGTGTGTACAGGCTCGACCCTGGCTGACGTGTAAACTTAGCCAGGTGGCGACCTGTACTAGCCTCTGTGCAGTGTGTCACCCGCTGACGAGCAGGAGTGAACTGGTGGACACCCACATCCTGTAGGTCAGCACCACTCACCAGGTTCGTAGAGAACGAGGGGAGGTAGAGACCAGACAGGGTGCCAGAGGGAGCCGCCGTACACGGGAGGACTGTGGAGAAACGAGACAGGACAGGACCCCCAGAGGGGTCAGCCAGGGACACCGCAACCGGCCGGCTAAGCGGCGTGAGAGTGGTGCGGTCCGGAAAGAAGGAGCGAGACGCCCCAGAGTCAAGGGTGAAGGTGTGAGAGGCCGAAGCCGACACAGTACCTGAGAGTGCAGACTCACTAGTACCTGAGAGCACAGACGCACTGGCACCTAGAGCAGCAGCCTCACTGGCACTTGACGCAGCAGTACCAATGCCCGGGTCGGGCGGGAAACACCGGTAACAGTCACCCTCATCACTAACAGTCACAGCATACATGGCAGCAAGGATAGCATCAAAGTCAAGATCAAAGATCCCCAGCGGGGGATCTCAGAGGCCTCCGGAAACTGCTGGCGCCAAGCGTCGGTCAAGCGGGCAAAGCAGCGGCGGGCGGTGTGGGTGCCCCCACACTGCTCACCCGCGCGGTCGCCGGTGCGAAGGACGTAGGTGCAGGGACCGAACGCCCCACCACGCTGACGCTGCGAGTACCACTCACGGAGCTGCTGAGGGGTGGGGACGTCGCGAGAGCGCTGCTGCTGCTGCTGCCGCTGCTGGCGCTGACCACCCCCAGTGCTGCTCCGCTGGGACGAGCCACTCCGACCACCTCCACCACCGCCACCCCCGCCTCCGCCGACACCGCCGCCACCGCCACCCTCGCCCCCGCCGCTCCCACCGCCACCTCCGCCACCACCTCCGCCGCCGCCTCCGCCTCCACTGCCGCCACCAGTACCTCCACTCCCGCCACCACCTCCACCGCCACCCCCACTCCCCCCGCCGCCCCCACCTCCTCCGCCACCGCCCCCGCTAGCTCCACCCGCTCCCTTGTCCCCCTGTTACCCTCTGTCGCCTCTGCTGCTGCGGCCGACCTGGTTGGTTTGGAGTCGGTCGGTGCGACGTCTGCCCCCAGCGGTAGGCGCCGCTCTGGCAGGGGCAAGGGGGGCAAGGGGGAAGGAGAACACCCCTCAAAGATGGGGGTGCGAGGGTCACCACGAGAGGCCTGAGCGGTCTTGCACTGACTAAAGTGCGCACGCTCGGAGGAAGGGAGGTGGCGACGCACAGCAAGACGTGCAGCAGCATCGCGTGTGGCCCACTTGGAGCGAACAGTGGGGTCAGCATCAGCAGGAGGGGCAGGGACAGCGCCAGAGACAAAGTCAAAGAGAGAAACCTCATCTATCGCATCGCACAGTAAGTACAGCTGCAGGTCCTCGACCCAGACTGCAAAGTCAATGGCGCGACCCTCAGCGTCAAAGGCCAGGACACTAGGGGTGGCCATGATAGCAGCCGACAGTCTCACCAGAGAGGAAGGGTCGAGTCGCTCAGCAGCACAGCAACACAGCAGTACAGGAACAGTAGCGGCCGCACAGGAGCAGGAGCTCGGCACCTCAGACGGCTCAGGCGGCTCGGGCGGCTCGGGCGGCTCGGGCGGCTCGGGCGGCTCGGGCGGCTTGGGCGACTCGGGTGGCTCGGGCGGCTCGGGCGGCTCGGGCACGTAGCGGCACGGGCGGCTCTGCTGCTCGGGGGGCTCGTGCGGCTCGGGTGACGCTGGGGCGCACGGGCGGCACGGGCGTCGTGGCGGGCGGCTCACGGGCGGCTCGCGGGCTGCTCACGGGCGGCTGCACGGGCGGCTGGGGCGGCTCACGGGCGGCTCGTCGGGCTGCTGAACGGGCGGCTGCACGGGCGGCTGCACGGGCGACTGCTATGGCGGGTGCACGGGCGGTGCACAGGCGGCTCACGGGCGGCTGCGCGGCTGGCACGTCGGGCGGCAGCACGGGCGGCTGCACGGGCGGCAGCACGGGCGGCCGCACGAGCGGTGCACGGGCGGCTGCACGGGCGGCTGTACGGGCTGCTGCACGGGCGGCGCGACGGGCTGCTGAGGGCGACTCACGGGCGGCCCACGGGCGCCTAGCGGGCTTCGGGCGGCGCGCAGGCGACGGGCGGCTAGCGGGCAACGGGCGGCTAGCGGGGGTCGCGCGGCTAGCTGGCGTCGGGCGGCTAGCGGGCGTCAGGCGGCTGGCGCGTCGGGCGGCTAGCGCACGGGCGGCTTCTGGTGGCGCACGAGCGGCTCTGGGTGGCACGCGGGCTCTAGGGCGCTAGGGCGCTAGGGCGGGCAGCGGGTCGCGAGGGCGCTCAGGCGCTAGGGCGCGAGGGCGGGCAGCGGGGCGCGGGCGCTAAGGCGGCGCTCAAGCTGCTAGGGCGGGCAGCGCGCTAAGGCGGCGCTCGGGCCGGTAGGGCAGATCGAAAAAAAAAAGTAAGAGCAAGGGCCCGAAGCGCGCTCCGGGCAGAAAAAAAAAGGTTCGATGTGGTGGGCCCTAAGCACAGTTCCCACGGGGGAACCTGCTCGATACCATGAGAAAGTTAGAACGAGAATGAATGAACTATGAATGAAGTGAGTACAAATAGAAAACCCTAGTTGGGTTGTACCCCCTATGGGATACCCCACTATAGCCTACATAAATAAGTAAGCTATAATATTCTGACAACTGTCACACGCCCACCACTTCAACAAGCACTACGCCAGCCGTGGTCTCGTCGCCATCGCCGAGGCTGAACACTTCGGGCCGCCAGATGAAGGAATGTAAACGCTAGAACTAGAACACGCCACACATCACATCTTCGGCCCGAACCAGAACCTCCTCGCAGGCTTCCCCTCTCAACAGCTCGATGGCATCTTGCGTGGACGCCGTCGCGGAACCTTTGACGTAAAAAGGAGAGCGCGTCCCTACACAAAGGAGCAATTCTTAAAGATCTACCCCCACTGGCGCGACCCCATGAAGAAACTTACCGTGGAACAGGAAGAAGAATTGGTGCGCCGCGAAGCTGAGGAGCTTCGCCGAAAGAGCATCCCCAAGGCACGCGGCACCTTCGCATGCGCCACAGGGGGCGCGGAAGAAGAAGAAGACATTGAATCCAATCAAGGGGGGTGGGGAAGCACTGGCGGATGGAGAACGTGCGACACCGGAGGATGGGGCAACACCAGCGGCACTTGGGCTGACGCCGGCGGTGGTTGGGGCGCCGCATCTGGCGGCGAGACAAGCAGTTGGGGCACTTCTAGCGAAGGCTGGGGAACTTCTCCCGAAGAACAAAGGGGGAAAGCTGAAGGTGACACAGAACCTCCTGTTGCTCCTCTCGATCATCCCTTGCGCCTTCCTGCACCCGCGCTTCCTTCCCCTGATGTTCAGTCGCACCGCGATTCCTTGGACACCATCGATTTGGGGAACGAACCATCAACCCCACGTCGCACAGCCTTTGGATCTGACCCCGAGCAGGGAACCCACCTTCTTCCCCGAAACGATTCCCGGAACCAACATTCCCCTCTCTGTAATTTCCGACAGAGAATTCTGAGCACTGATGCTGACGACAGCAAACGACGAAGAAAAAGAAGCTGGAGAAGCATCAGCAGAACCCCCCGCC